TTTTTTTTCCTTGTCAGAATCCCACAGCTTCAGTCACAAATCTGTGTTAGGACCCCTGATCATCGTGGATCCATCTGACTCAAAGTCTCACGGCAAATCAGAGGTGTCTGTCACTGCTGCAGACTCAGGTGAAATTAATGTCATTGAGCCTTGTACTGAGACTGGACTAAAGTTCTGAACTTGTTCACAGGAAAGCCCCAGTGTTAGCTGATGGAGACTATGAGCATGCACAACAGATTGCCAGGAGCAGCATGACCTCAGCCTCCTGACTGACAAGATGTTGGGACACCAGCTTTGCATGACTTCGACTTTAAATTGTCTGCAGACTAATTTAACCCTCTGTACAAATAAAACCTATTGTAAATTGCCGACATTCTACTTTTATTGCATTTGTTATCCAGGCTCAAAACCGCAGCCAATAGCACTCAATGAAACTTCTTTTCATCACTTGATAAGTTCCCCATAAAGTGATCACAACTCCAGGGAATGAGCTGAAATACATGATCTATATATTAAGTCACATACAGTGTCTGTCTAACCTACTAGCTTACTGCTGGTTGTCCATGAGTTAAAGTCTAAGCTTATAAACTCATAAGTGGGCCATGTTTGTCACTAGTCTTTCAAGTTTATAGTAACAGACCAATAAACTTACATATGTACAAATTTGACTTTGTAATTAAAGGACCAGCTGAGCTATTTCGCCATGAGACTGTCTCATTTATGATAACTTATATGGCATTCAGGTCCTCAGAACCAATTTCTGTGAGCAATGGGAGCAATTTTCCTCAAGCACTAGCAGCGAGCCATGACATAGGTACTTGAATTCTGCTCTTACTGATAATACAACTGAGGCAGCATATGCAAGTTGTCCAACTCTATGAAAACTGTCAGTCTGTATGTGAGGTCTTTTGTCAAATGTGTCATTAAAAAGAAAAGTGAAAAATGCCTCAACAACAGTATTACAAATATTTAGTGATTTTTCACACCATTTGCAATCCTGTAAAATGTCATTACTCAGACAATGAGTATGGGCCTGCTATGGTCATACAGTTGGCTGACATATGATTATGTCATGGACCATAAGTGACTACCAGATCTTCATTTTTGAATCCGGGCCAAGTGTAATTGGACTGTGTGGGCCATTACTGGGCCAGACCAATTTTACATAGATGTGGATTCTGATTGAAGAATCACGTTTGGGACACTTGATTGTTGCATTGGGTTTTCCTACTTTCTGACCATAAATTTAAAATCAATGGACATGCAAAGGCAAGTCTTTCTGCATGGTTCTTAACCCATATTTACTGCCTGCAGTATGGTTGCAATTATAGTTATAGATTGTCTGGTTACCTTGCTTCCTCACCTTGAGCATGCATATCATAATATATCATAAAATGTGTTACTTCACGATGTCCTTTCATGACAATTATGAACAAATAAGAAAAACCAAATGGTGCTCAATCTACACCATATCAAAATGAAATGAGTCTAGTAAAACGATGATGTAATACGTTTCTTTCCCAGCTTGTTGTAATCAGGCTGATGGCCGCTGCACCTGAGTCTGCTGACACACATCAGGTGAAAGAGGTTCTTTTGATTGATGCCTCTCAGTCAGGAATAAAACCACCCACAGTGGTAGAAGTAAGTGTTTAGTCATGATGGCTTTCTTTTGTCAATGTGCACTGCTTCTGAGCCTGGCAGCAGTTGTGTCAGTGTATGCAGGTAACATTGCAGCAATTCATCATCTTTAACTCTGTTAATGTGTGGAAATTTGAGTTCTTTGTATTGTGTTCCTTACAGACATGAAACTGGACTGCAGGCCTGATTTGGTGACTCTGGTGTGGACTGAGAGCAGATCCCAGGCCAACACTTCACTCCTTCGTCTGGGTAACTGTTTCCCCACCAGCCTTTCAGCCAGGGAGGCCGTTTTCAGCGTCGGTGTCAATGATTGTAACTTCAGGAGACTGGTGAGTGGCACACTTCCACCTGCAAACTGTGAGTCGACTGTGTTTTCTGCAGCTTAGTGGCATTTTGTCTTTCTCATAGGTTACTGGGGATCAGCTAATGTACACGAATGATCTGACCTACGTTTCCCCTCCTGGTTCTCAAATTCTTTCCTTCACTCGCCTAGTTGTCTGTACATATGAAAGGTGGGTGTGTACAACTCATTTTTGAAGCTGTGTTGGGTAAAAGTGAGCAAAAGCATCTTGCTGTTGGAGTTCTACAGATGCATGTATTAATGTGAGCAGTTGCTGTACTTGCTCTGCTTTATTTCATGCAGGCCCAAAGACTGGTACCCTCGGGCTCATAACCCTGTGTTTCATACATATGGTCAAGGAGATCTAGTGTTCCACATCGGACTTATGAATGGTGGGTGTAAAATGTCATCTCACTGGAAACGTCAGAATTCTGACTCCTGTAGCTTAATGATTCTTTATCTCCTCTTGTAGATGACTTCTCAGGCCCTGCTGAATCTACCAGTTTTCCTCTGGGCTCCTTTATCCCCATCATGGCTAGTGTGGCGCAGATGTCCCATCAGCCCTTGCTGCTGCTTCTTGAGGAATGTGTAGCGGCTACCACATCAGAGCTGTTGCCTGAAAGCAGTATATACCCGATAATCGCCAATAAGGGGTATACTTTGTACACTGGTGATAAATGATTCTCAGAACTTTTTGGTCCAGACATTGGAGGTAAACAAGAAATTTGTGTTCTTTAACGAAACAGATGTCTGGTGGACAGTAAGGTATCTCGCTCAAAATTCGAACCAAGGCAGAAATCATCAGAGATCCATCTATCCCTTCAAGCCTTTAGGTTTGGTCTCGGAGAAGAGGTAAACTAGCCTCATCCAATCAATGTTGCATGCTAATTTTTAGATGCAGGGTTTTATATTGGGACTATGGTGTGTGTGTATACTGGAAACCTTTATGCTTTGTGACGTTACTACAGGTGTTTATTCACTGCAAACTTGTGGCTTGGGATCCCATTGGTCTTGACAACACCAACAAGGCCTGCTACTATAACAAAGAACATGGGTAAAAAAGTCACTTTATAAACTGCATCAGTATATTATAACTTGGTAGTTTTTGCCTAGTGTGCTGTCAGTTAAATGTAAACTAAACACTGAGCTTTAACCACGTATCAATTTGGCTTCGTATATCAGTGGTTCCCAAACTTTTTCCTTTTTTCTATCAGAATAAATTGATGGCCCCTGACTAATGACATTATAGATATTTCATTAAATTCAATGTAAAAACAATAACTGTACAAAATGTACAAATTGTACAAAACTCATATGAATGCAATAAGATCTTCCTATTCATGTAGAGGAAGCCTTATAACCCCCAGTTGGTGGTAGGTCTGATTAATCTGAAAGATTCTCTTCAATCTTCATGAACTCAGCTGGAAGCTGCTAGACAACTCTGGATATAGTAATCTTTGTGACTGCTGTGAGTCCAGCTGCAAGTCCAGGAGGATGAGGAGTATAACATCAGGTATTTGCACAACTTCTGCCGTATTAAGCTGGTCTCATTGTACAATACTGAAACTGGATTTGTTTTTGTTTTGTCTTGCAGGGAAGCATGGAATAGTACAAAAAGCAGTTCTTGGGCCACTTACCATCACTGATTCCTGAAGTTCCCCTCCCAAGTAATCATGTTTCAAGTTTACATTGCACTATATATATTTATCTTCAACAACTAAAAATGCATGTTTTGTTTTTCTCCCAGCAGGAATGCATCTCTTACAGACTGGTTCCTTCAATCTGAATTGGGTTTTTATTCTTGGTTTCACAAGCTTCTAAAAGCTTAGTTTCCTGTCTCTCTGCATTTCAGATCATAACATGGCCATTAAAGATCTATCAAACGCTTGAATGCTCTCAGTTGAACATGATTTTGAGTGTGTAACAGTCTTGACATGAGTGTATTGAATTATGGTTCTTGTGTGACTCTTTTGTCAACTAATATTTTATTCCTGGGATACACATGTGGTCATATACAAGAAGGAATTAATGGTGGATGGATTTTATTTTATGCACTCTTAATGTAGATCTAATTTAATGTAAGCATAATTTTTATTCACAAGGTAACAAATTATACTCATCAGTTTCTTTCAACCTTTGTGGATATTTGGGTGAAGGGTTGAGGTGTGAACATCCCGAATTCTCTGTCAGGGGGAAATATGGACAGCATATGTTATACTTTATACTTGCAGATCTCTCAAGCCTAACTCAGTTTTGCTAGGAAGCATTTGAGTCATGTTATCTACAATCAAACATAAGAAGCATGCAGTCCTATGGCCTTAAACACTTTTCCTTTAACCTCTGTGCAAAGCATCATGAGGTAAAGGAAAGATTGGGTTTTCCGTCAAACTCAGAATTACATCTCCAATAAACAATTAAAGTAAGGATGAGGAATTAAAATCATGAATAATAACACTTTCTGCATCGAACTGCGTAGGTAGAGTGGATATTTCACAGTAGGGTTGGTGGTTCAACCCTACCACCTCCCCATCCGTGAATTGTAGTTTCCTCGAGCAGGACACTGAAAACCCAGGTACCCCTGGCTGCACAGTGGACACATTTCATTTCTATCTATGCAAATGTATTGTTAAATGATAAAGGCTGTATCCCTGCACTTTTTAAAAGAGCGCGAGCGCACACACTAACTCATGAATTTAAAAAAACAAAAGAAACCCTTTCAAGAGATCGATACAGGAGGTGTTGTCCTTGCTCCAGCTTGAGAAAATAAGCCATACTGAGTCCTATGAAAAGTTTAAGATATGGTTTCCATTTATTGAATAAAAGGAACTAACTATGACGCCACCTGAAATACGTTGTCCTATTTTAACACTTTATACATTGGAGCACCCACATTTTATATATAATATTTACTCTCTACTTATTTTTTATTTTTACTTCATTTGTTTGGTAATTTATTTAATTTTATTGTTTCTTTTTTGTACTGAGTGCAGTCCCAGGGTAGTTACGGATACGGGGTGGGTCTAATGTGTGATTATGTGAGTTCAGTATATTTGTACAGGTGAGTGTAGGTCTCCATAAATGCAAAAAAAAGTAAAGTAAGTTTTTAAAAAAAAAAAAAAAACACACCTTGAACGAAATAAAAAAAAACTACTAAAATTTCTTTAAATTAATTTTTGGTTCATTTGGACCTTATACCACTTCAAACATATATATTAAATAGCTGGCATATTTATATGATGTAATTCATATTAAAATGACCCACCTTTCTCATATTAATATTTGAACCATTAACAGGGGTCTTGATACGTCACTCAGCCAATCAGAAGAGAGCAGGACTCGCGCGGAGGCGGGACTGACGAGCCGAGTGAAATAATACTGAGTACATGACACTAACTTAATTTACTAAGTTACCTCTGAGCAGGGCAACAGGTAATGTTAGCAAGGGAGCAAACAAGAGAGCACAGACACTTTATGAAAGTTTATTAGTCAGTTTATTGCCCTCCGTTTGTTAGTATCCAGTCTTAGAGAACAAGATAATTTTACACTATTTAAGCTAACGTTACCTAGCTATCGAGCTAGCAAGCAAACACTTTGGTGGCCAATAGTGAAACCTGTTAGCATAATGGATGAGTAACTTTGTCTTAACCATAAACTGCTGTACCTAACTACTGTGTGTGTGTGTGTAGTTGGCAGTGTCCTGAATAATGCAGAATTATCTAATCCTAAAACGACAGCTATGTTTGTGTGTAACAAAGTAAGTGTGGATGTGATAACTTTACTTTGCCTAGCTTATGGGCAAAGGCATTCAGTAGTTAGCGCAAATGTCATAAGAAGCTTAATATTAAAAGTTATCTAACGTTCCATACTGGTACAGTATGTGGACACCTGACATCTTTTGAACATGTCATCTCAACACCGCGGTACGCTGCTAGAGGCCTGGGTCGGCTTCCCACAAAGTCAGGGGTTTGTACAGGC